TGTGCGTCAAGGACTTGGAATAGCAAGGCAAACCCCCGAAAACAAATTTATTGCGTACAGTGCACCTCTCAATAAATCTGATGTGGTGCGGTACTAAACGCATATTCGAATGACTAAATAATAAAAGGACAAAGTTCTCAGCGTTGATCAATCCCTGATGAATACGCCATGCACTCGACTTTATTAAGTATTGTTGACGGTGATTGAATGCATTTCTGGCTTTCACAATGACTTCGGTGTATCGTGCCAGTGCTGCTATCCTTCCAGACAAATCTGGCACCAATTTGCCGATTCTGAGGGGATGGAAGGCTTGGTGAGCCTGGGGGCGTGGGGATTAATCCTATTCGCATTGCACGGCGCCTCTGACCACTGCGCTAAACACGCCTCTTGTTGGAAAGATTGGTATTCAATTATTTAGTGAGGAAAGCACCTTTGAAAGTTCGTTCGAGAAAAACAAAACCGATTCGTCGATGATTACAGACACATTCTACAGCATTTAAACTCCGATAATTGATAAATTCCTGAAGAGCTGACGTGGCGTTGTTAACAAAACATTTTCCTTACTTCACTTCCTCATGAGATGCAGCGTAATAGTAAAATGATGTAATGAAACTACGGCTGTAGTACTACACCTTCGAAGTGATCGGTGTGGAGAACTACGATGAACCATTAACAATCCTCATAATTTGTGTTGAATTTCACCAAAGTGTTATGACGAACGAAATAAATGCACTATTAACAAATTTGTGTTGAAGTACTAAGAACAAAAGAAGTGATAAGCAGAAAAACTCCAAGGATGTGACTGTCATGGACAACCATGAAGGAGACCCCATTTGTGAACGCACAGGTGGCATATATTGGCGGAGACCAACAAGATGAAAATTGTACAGACGAACAAATTCAGTAGAAAGGACGTCTTTAATACAGTAAGTTCAACACTAGCAAGTTCTGTCAATGCAGAAGATGACGAATATAAAGGTTTTCCTAACAAAGAACAATACAACAAAAGCACATATATACTGAGACACTTAGAGCAGCGCTCTTTACATGATGTTGTGGTCCCAACCTCCCATGTAATCGTTTCTGCTCCTTATGATTGTGATAAATGGTTAGGTTCCGATTTAAATTAGTTTGCAGCCTAAATCTCTATTATTTGCATAATAGCTACTCTCAGCGATACATCGGTGGTAGCCGAGGCGGGGTTCCACTGAAATCCCGGGATAGACGCTCTAAGTTACCAATTTTTGATAAGACAGGACTGAAAGAGTATCAACTGGAGCCGCGCTGTATAGCACAATTCTGAACGAGGCTAAGAAAAAATGGCCTAAATGCAAGCCAATGACATTTAGCGGCCTCTGGTAAAGTGCGTACTGATTAAGCAGGCACTTTGTTAAAGTCCTATTAAATGAGCCGAATTTTAATAACATTAAACTAATTGTACACATATGAAAAAAGTCTTAAATAAAACCTGAAGATTTTCTCGAAGGAAAAAAACATAGAGGATTAGAGTCGTGCTTGTGACGTGGCGTGATCGAATGGTTTGCGCGTAAGCGAAAAAGGTTAAGTAGCACTTAGTATTATATGCTCAGCATGTACTTTCTCATAATTACCTCACCGTGTCGACCATCAACTTTTTATATTTCTAAGTATGAGTTAAGTTGTACTGACCGACAGATACTTGACTGAGAATATAATACTGCTCACTTTAATTTAGAAGAAATTTAACCTATCATGAAAGTCATGAACAGACACATTGATTTACGGTTTACTTAATAATCTATGGGATGCAATAACTCCGTGATAGTGACACAGTTGAATATGCGCGTTTACTCATGCTGGACCCCATACCGGACCAACAAATCCCCAACCCCTATGGAACGGAGAAACGGGTACCCTCTAATTAATCTGAGAACAGCTGTCGGGCTATCTTAAGATTCCAAGGATGATAGAAGGATAAACTCCATAAGCTACAAACAGTCTTCATTAAGAAGATCAAAGTCGTACAGGAGTGGAACCTAAATGCAAAAGTTTGAAGACTTTCGCGGTTGACGGCTGGGAGGAAACAAACCGCATGCAAGAAATGCTGAGACCGCAAAAATGAACGGCTATGGACATTCGAATAACTGTCCCCTTGAAGAAAGAGAAGATGCAAGAACGTTCGCCAAGCATGTGTATTCTTTCCTGCGACGCATGTAGCGGAGTGGTCAAAGGTGCCCAGCGATGCACATGGTCGCTGGTTTGATCCCATGCCCTCCGCCTAACCAAGAGCACTTCATCCTTCCAATTCGGCAATCTGGTACCACACCTTCTTGGAGGAAAAAAAACTAGCTTGATACATCGGTAGGTATTCGGAAGTGATTTTATGGGTCCAATATGTACCCACTCATTTCCACGATATGCATGGGATTGAATGGATAGCTCACGCTTAGAGTACTAATCAAAATTGAGCACCCGGTTCCTTTTTTCTTCTTGCGCAATTATACATAAAAGGATAAAGCTGTCAACGTTGATCAATCTCTGAGGGATGCGCCATGCATTCGACTTTACTAAGCATTGTTTGGAGGTGATTGAATGCATTTCTGGCCTTTACAATGACTCGCGATGGCCAATCGATGTATCAATACAGTGCTGCTATCCTTCCAGACAAGTCCGGTACCAATGTTCCGACCGCAGAGAGATAACGGGCTTGCTGGGCCATGTCCACAGGGATCGATTCCCCGAGTATTGCAGGGCGCCTCCGACCACTGCGCTGCAAGCGCCCACCATTATATATATATATATATATATATATATATATATATATATAATTGTAGAACTGTTTATCAGAATTCGAAGAAAACACTCAAGATTACAGTAAAATAACATATCGGAAAAAATTGATTCAACAGCATTCTTGGGTTAAGTCCCTTGATGAAATTTCTTATCCATTGTAAACATAAAGCTATAGTTCAAACTTATTTCAAAAAGGTGTACAACGAGTACTCTAACTGGGCGACCTAATGTAACGTAGGCTATCGATCCGATAAAAAATAGCTTTGATGATTTATATCACAGGTTTACAATAGTTGATCTAGTAACTCGTCCGTACATCAACATAACTGTTCATTTCGTCTGAAAACGTCACCACTAGGGGAGCTCAACGAAACAGTACTATTGGGAATTTTTGCGAAGAGTTAGTATAAGATGGGGATGTAGATCGATACGGCATGGTCGTTGCCTGGATGAGTTGGTTAATGCAACGAGCCGCTCTACCGGCAACGCAGCAGCCTCTATCTGATTATGGTGATAGGCAGTGAAAGCCAGAAAACACTCAAACCCATTATCCCCCATTCATTTGAGGATAATATAGGATTATGTCGTGTTATTTTCAAAGCGAAATCAGCCATCGAGACGTCTCGAGAAGAAAAATTGAGTCAACTGATTAGAATGAATGGAAAATTATAAACAAATTAAAATCCCTAAACCTTAATCAATTCGTTTCCATATACACCCCGAGCATACTATCCAATGTCTTAGAAAAAAGGCATGGAAAAAACAAATGATGGGAAGCTGTAAAAGATAAAACAAACAATGAACCACACGGCGTCGGAGAATACGCTAAGAATGTGCCACGCATTCGACTCCACTCGTAACATCATGTAGACAATTTAATGAATGCCTAGCCTATTTAGTGATTTCGAAAGCCTACCTATATACTGTTAGTGTTACTCGAAAGACCGACTTTCTATAAACCTCGGCATAGATAGTTGATATATTTATTTATGTGGTCTTATAAACTGATCTCCTTAAGCTGACGCGAGGTTGGTACAGCTCTTCGTTGTCGTTGTTTTCGACGTTCTGAGCTCTGAGGAAGGCGAAGTCGCCGAAACGTCAGCCACCGATCAATAACATCAAAAGCAACGACAGCGACAACGAAGACCTGCACCAACCTCGCGTCAGCTTAAGAAGATCAGTTTATAATATCACATAAATAAATATGTTAGTGCTACTCTTACTTGTGTGCACTGCAGGGCAACTCTAACCACTGCACTACACGAGTCTCAATGGACAGAATCAATGAGGCATTTCCACATTAGGAAAATCCGTACGTCCACATATTCCAGTCACTCTTTGATAAAAGCACTTCTAGTGTATAACCACATCGATTCTACATATAACACGTCATCTACATTCATGTGAATAGATCTCATTTCCGATGTTCCCTTTGTAATGCAATTTTCATAAAGATAATATGACGTCACTTCAGTCATCTATGAAAGTGAACCACAGTGAGGTTCCAGTAAGGAAAAAACATTACCTTATAAATTGCATTGAATTCCTTCGACACTAAGCAAACAAGGAAATCCACTATTAACTAAATAAAGCAGAGTGTGAAGAATCGGATAAATTAGAGGGACTAAATAAAGCCTGATACAAAGCTGGTAGAAACACGATGAAAAGGGAAAATGCTGAGAGCCGAAGGAAATCAGTGGGAACTGTAACTTACTTAGAAGCAATTTTTACAATTCGTTCCTATTAATTATGATATTTCAACTTTACCGCTACATTTGCGTCAAACGAGAGAAAACGGCTATAACAATTTATGGCAATTTCTTTCCGAAATATTTAATTAATGGTGTCTAAATAACTGCTTTTTCCATACGACGCTGCGATAAGGAAAAGCGCAGAAATATTTTCTCAGATCTATGAAAAGTTGTTTGTTAGAATCCAGAGGCAGAAAAATAAGAGAAAGAGATCTCATGTTTTTGCTCGACACGTAGATGTTCTTCTTGGAGCCCTTTTCGGAGTAGATAGCACAGTAGGCGATTTCTTACCCTTAGGCGACACCCTTTTGATAGTTGGCGTCCGCTTCATGAATGGAGTAGATTTCATCGCTGAAGACCTTCTCCTGGAAGTCGAGGAGCCGATAGTCGTGTCTTCACTGGCCAATTTGTCCGAAATCTTCGATTTTTTGGACGTTGAAGTATTCACTGGAGTCAACAACGAAGTAATGGCTGCATTCACAACTTCGCTCTCAACAACTGCAAACGACTTTCCCTTCCTCTTTCGCGAACTTGGTCTTGTAGCAGTTCTGGATTCGCATCTTGAGTCCTCATTATTCTTAGATTTTTGAACAAAATGGCTTTTGCTTTTAGAAGTCTTACTGTCGATCGTGAAGGTATCAGTCTTACTGGCATCCGCTGACGAAGTGGCTGCTGAAAAAGAAGTGTACTCAAAATTCTTCGCATTAAAAACAAATGTGGTAGTTGTTGGTACCTCTGCTTGTTTGGGGTCTTAGCGGAGTAGCACGTTCTGCCTGAACGGTAACTGTATTCTGCTGGCATTTCATTAGCTGAATCCGATTAGACCGTCTTCGGCTGTCTCTCGTTTTATCTCGCTGAGTATCTTTTATCTTCCTGGAAGCAGCTTGTGTATGGGACCCTGACATAGTTACTTTTGACGAATCTTCGGACGAAAATGCAGGTGTTGGCGAGTTCTCATCATTTTCTATATTAAGAGGTGCTTTATCCGAAAGCTCTACATTGGGAACGCTTATCACCAATGGTGATTCCTCAAAAACACGTTCAATATCTTCGCATGAAATTTCTACATGCGACGGTTCCACAATTGGTCGAATAGCCGTACTGGCTGCGATTGGACTTTCAACAACTTCCTGATCCCTAGATACTTTTGATGCAAGGTGTACCCTCTTACGTGAAGAGGAGTTCCATAATGAAGTAGAAAGTGCTGAAATACACCATGATCAATGATGTTACAGGCGCATTCGTACCAACACAAAAAAGAAACTGAAAAGGACTCGCAGAGGCGGAAATGGCGAAAAGTATTAGTGTTCTTTTGCAAAACAAAAACAAGAAAAGAAGAGGAAAGTGGACCATAGAACTAGGAAAGAAAATAACTGAGTGGTGTACCTGATGAAAGAGCATTTGGACTTTGACAAGCCACTGAGGTTTCAATGGAGCGATTCCACATATCCACAGGATCTTCATCTTCGCCTAAATTATATGAGAATACAAATAATTGCACATTTTACAACAACAAAAAAACCAAAAATGGACAAACAATTTAATTACCTGATTCAGTGCCAACATCATAGTGGCTCACTATTCTAGACCATCTCTGCAGCGTAGTCCGTGCTTTCGTAGACAGTGATGATGGATCATCTATCTGCCCAGAGACTCCACCTTTAGGGGTCTGAAAAAAATCAAGGGTTTCATTTCTAGCGAACGTAGATATTCACGTAAAGGATAAAAAGGATAAAGCTCTCGGCGTTGATCAATCTCTAACAGATGCACCATGCATTAAACTTCACTAAGCATCGCTGGAGGAGACTGAATGCATGTTAGGCCCTTACAGTATCTCGCGGTGGTCTACCGATGTATCGATCCAGCGCTACTCTACTACCACACAGTCTGGTACCAATTTTCCGACCCCGCTGGGATAGGCTTGGGGACGTGGATAAGAATGTTTAATAAGAGAGTACCTTCTGAAGCGAACGATCCACTTTATCGCTTCTCCATATCGAATCAATGTATTCGAAGACCTACAATGAAAAGCGGTTCAAAACTATGGGTACCACCAGAAAGCCATCCGAAGACGCGAAAGTAAAATAAACGAGCCTTTTCTGTGGTTGATAACTTGTTTTCCGACACTCTACTCGTATTAGAATGCCAGATGGTGTAGAAGGCACGCAAAGGATCTTCCTCAAAGGATGAGTTCTGTCTGAGGCGCGACTCATTGTTAGTAGATGGTGAACGATGGACGACAGCTGTGAACAGGGTTTGCAAAGATTTGTACGTCAGCAGAAATAACCATAGCTCAGAAAAGTATGGTGATAAATAGGAAACAAGCTAAATAATGGTCTTCAAAATAATGAAACACTTACTTGATACTTACTTGAATGGCCCGTCCTCACTGGTTGTGCAGGCCCCAGCATAATCGCCAATTTTTGGAGATTTGCTGGTTAAGCCACTATGGTTCCTTGGAGTCCCGAGGTCAACCTGGCCAAAGTCCACCCCAGGTCTTCAACACCACGGACAGTCGCAGCCCTTGTGGATCAGAGGGAGATTTACCACCATGAGACTTTGATACCAGGACGGTGGTGGATCCTGCTATTGGCTTACTCTTAACTAGGCTTGCTGATAGAAACGCGGGACTCCTCAGCTTGGGAGATCCTGATAGGAGATGAATCTCCCGCTGTACATCGCAGTCCGACACCCAGGAACACCTCCCAGCCACGATGAGGCGGTAAACCGTTGGGAGGAATAATGAAACGAGAAAAAAACGAAAGCAAGTTGAATGCTCACGTAAACGATCGTTAGAGTTTGTCGTGGAAGACTTCCTAAGATTTTTCTCCTCTAACCACTTTTTAAAACGATTTTCGTAGTGATTCCACTGGCGAACACCCGTTGAGAGTGCCCTAAAAAGAGATCCTTACTTACTTGGATACTTGGATGGTTCGTCTTGACTAGTTATGCGGCCCCAAGCATAATTTCCACTTTTTCCGGAGTTTTTTTTGGTCTAGCCATTATGCTTCCTTGAAGTCCCAGAACAGCCTGGTCCAATTCTACCCCATGTCCTCACCACTACAGGTAGTCACGACCCTTGGGGAACAGAGGGAGATTTGCCACCATGCGACAAGTCTGATACCAGGACGGTGGTGGATCCTGGTATTGGCTTACTCTTTGCTGGGTCTCCTAATGAAAACACCGGACTCTTTTTCAGCGTGGCATACTCTTCTGGGAGATGAATCGTCTCGCTGTACATCGCTGTCCGACACCCAGGAACAGATCTCGGCCACGATGAGCTGGTAAACAGCTGGGAGGAAAAAGAGATGTTTGGAATATTATGAGGAACGATGCCATCTCAGCATTAGTTCCTGTGAAAAGTTTCAATGAACAGGCTCGGGATATTTATCGAAAATAAGCAATGTTAAAGAACTAACTTTGGTAATACGAATAATGACTGTCCTTCTCTGTAACGCGAGTGATGCTGGTGATCTTTCCGTCTTTTTGCAGCCAGTGAAAGTCGTCTAACGACATTCTCGATTCGCTGGCATTTACTCTGACTATCAAAGCTAAAGAGTTGTTCTTAGATAAAATAAGGTCAATAGAAACTTCAGAAATATTCTTTGAAAATACTGGTGTTCTCACAGAAATGAAACCAATGTAAATACGACAAACACCGTAGTTACTGTACGTCAGCTTCACCAGTGAAGTAAATCTGCGTCAAAAATTATGTAACAAGTTAGTAAACTTACCGCTCTTCCGGATTCGTGAATCTACGTCCGTTCCACGGTTTCGGAACGCACAGCCAGTAACCGTGACCTTCCACGAATGGTCGCATTAGACACTCAACCACAATCTGAACATTTATATTTCACTACTGAACATCTGGACGACAAACAAAATGGAAATGAAAGGTGAGAAAAATAAGACCACTGAACGCAATCTATTCAAAATGTGCTAATTCGCGCGACTACAATTTGACGTACTTTTACAGACATAACGAATAATTACGTACTTTTTTTTTTTTTTACTAGCAAGCTGTTAAATTCTACTTTCTATTTGTATTTCCTTGTAATTCTTAATATGTCTTTTTTAGTCCTAACCACCATGATGCAATTAGAGTTGAGATATATTAGGTTAAAGTGAGAGCGGATAGAACCATTTGCATTGTATACAATGCATCCAGGGCACGTGATAGAAATAAAGTGAATTTAATCGGCAGCGTTGAGAACTGGTAGTTTCTTTGTCTTACAGAACTTCTTCTATAAAAGAAAGGTTACTAAAGGGAAAAAGAGGTCATGCTAGCAAAGTGAACCTCAACAGAAATAATTTCAGTGAATATGACGTACCATATTAGTCACTGATAGCAGAGTGATGGTTGGGAGACTTCTCTAAAAACATGAGAACACTGACTTCCCTCCCAGGAGCTCTCACAACTCATTTTTTAGGCGAGTTATGGATTCCTGCTTTATCTGGTCGAAGTGAAAATTTCGTGAGAAATATCATCATGAATGTCCACAACGCAGTTGCTAGAGATAGTGAGTTTCTTTTTCCTTTTTTCGCTAGTTATCGTTCTTTTCTGATCTTGGCCTTTTTCTGTGGATTTCTTCCGGTAGGAAAAGTGTTTTTGCATCTTTCTATTGTTTCTGATTATATGTTTATACTGCTAAATGTACCTCTCGACGAACGGTTTACCGCCTCATCGTGGCTGGGATCCTGGGTCTTGGGCTGCGATGTACAGCCGGAGGATTCATCGCCGCGGCAGTGCCTCCCAAGCTGAGAAGGAGTCCGGCGTTTCCATCAGGAAACCCAGCTAAGAGTAAACCTACACCAGGGTCCACAACCGTCGTGGTATCAAGCTAGTAGCATGGTGGCCAATCTAAAATGTCTGATCCACAAAAGCGACTACTGCCTTCGGTGATGACGACCTGGAGCAGACTTTGACTAGAGTGACCTCGGGACTTCAGGAAACCACAGACCAGTAAAACTCCGAAAAACGAAAATTATACGGAGGCCTCCACAACTAATGAGGATGGGTCATCCAAGTATCCAACTAACTAAATGCTGAATGTTCCAGATGGGAGCGTACTTCGTGATGCAAAAGAGATTTTCATTCATATGCACAGGAATTTTCGTGTTTCGAGGAATATTCGTGCACACTGGCTATTTGATCATCTCAATAAAACTGTGAGGATCGAAGACTCTCCTGGAGAGGTGTGCTCGTTTTATTGTTCTTTGAGCCTATCTTCAACAACTGTATACGTGAACAATTAATATTAATCTCAGTAAACAGCTTTCAGTTAGCCTTGACGTTAAGCCCTAACTAACTGCGTTCCTATGAACTGTTCTTGGTGAGATAATGCGGAAGTGCTAACATGTCTAGACTCTTAATGGCTACATTTTGGGTCGTTCCACCTTTTTCAGAGTGTTGGGTGGGACGTGTTATTTCGTCGCCTTATTCGATGGACGGGTTTACAACTTCAGTAAGGATCTGAGGCTTACTTTTTTGTTGATGAGCTCTTGTCCATTCTTTCTCCTCAGCGTGATATTTTCCAGGCATTATTTGTGAGTCAGTTTCGTACGCCTTTATAAGTGCGAACAGCAAGTACATGATAAGAAGAAGGGCTGTCATTTCCTGTATCATATTTCTCGGAGTAGTGTGAAGCAGTTAAGATTTAGTAGTTAGGATTTTCTGGAGTAGTTAGCTAACTGCTGCCAACTTGCGTGGTTTCGCACTTCTCCGAGAAATATGATTCAGGAAGTGACGGCCCTTCTTCCCGTCGCATGCTTGCTGTTCGCACTAATAAAGGCGTACGAAACCGGCTCACAAAGAGTGGTTGGAAGAATTCACGTTGAGGAGGAAGATAACTATAGTCGAACTCTAGTCGTTGTGGAAGGTTTTGAATGCATTCAGCATGTTTTCCATTTCTTAGGAGATTAGACCATCGCCATGCGCATTGTTCACAGAAAATGGTGGATTAGTACGCGCTCACTTCAAAAGAAAATTGGTTTATAATACGTTGTTGAGTCAGGTGTCATGGCCAAGCGTTCTTGCTTTTGATTCATTTTTGTATTCTAGTTTATCCAAAACGAGTTAAGAGTTTTGCGGGCTGAGATATGTGTCATGTGCGTCTAATGACGACAGGGTAACAGTTCAAGTATGGAAGCCAATCTTTTCACCTTTTCTTAGCCAAATTTTACTTGCTATGACTGCCTATTGAATAACTCAAGACTTATCCGACTCCTGTTGTGTAAAGCAAACTGGAGAACAATAGTGACTACATCTACAAGAGAGTAGTGGTCGATGGTCGAAGACTGGAGCTGCATTAAGAGACCTAGGGCGATAGAGCGATAGTGGTGGCAGTCGTTGTCCTATTGCAAACGCTTTGTTTTCTGCGTAATATTTATCAGGCCATTTAAAAATTGAGCCGCTGAGACACTTGTTTAGGGTTATGAGCCCCCAAATCGGCAAGTTATAAACGTTTGGTGCTCTTTCGTGTACGGTTAAACGGTGGCACAAGGGTGCATTGATGCGTATGAGTAGAGTAAGTTAACCTCGAACTCCATTACATCGTGGTGTTTAGACGTACTTGATGTGTTCCACAGGAGTATTTTGATGTTCTGTAGATGGACTGATACTAAGTTAGAGCGCAGAAAGTGAGTTTTATGAATCACCCATTGCTATCCGTTGGACAACTTACAGAGCTGTTGGATAGTCTAAAATGTTAGGTTCGCTGGTTATCAACGGGATGTCGCGTATTTGTTTTGTTAAGCAACCATGCACATTAGTAGTTCGTTGTTGTCATTCTTACTTAAATCCCTTTATAAGGGCGATAAAGAGAACCATTGTCAAGATGTCTATTGGTTATCCAGAAATTAACGTGACCTAAAACACCACCAAGTGTTGCTTTCCAAAAAGGAGGCAGCTATAAGTGAAATCATTACTGGCTTTCTCCATTGTTCGTTTAACAATTGTTGTTTGGGAAGTCCTTTTACAAAATTTAGAAGTACTTTTTGGTAAAAATAGTATTATCCTCGCCAGTATATCAGATCGTGCTCTCATCGTTTTCGATTTTTTGGAAACTTTTTCTCATTTTCAGAGTGAGTACAGTAGTGAAATGACCGTGGTAGGTATCATCGCTAAAGACGGCGAAGCCAGTGATTACGTTGTTGGAGAAGAATTCAGAGTTTGTGTGGACACCAAGGTTTCTTCCCTTCTACTAGAATAACTAATTGAATAAAAATTATTGGTGTGCTTTTATTATAATTTGATTTCAGGTCACTTATATATCGCGATACTATCGCCACGTTTTTGTTCTCGATCTAAGCCCTTCGGCACTTGTTGCTGTTAGAATTGCTTCTGTTCTTTTAGTAGCTCTGATTAAGAATGTCTAGCGTAAAACGCAAAGAGAATGATTAGTTTGTTTAGGATGAGGAAAGTAATTGCTGCCTTCATACGAAACTATTGGAATGTCTACGGCTTAGTATGGCTTCCGTAACTAAAAGTGTAGGTTCTCGTACAATTTGTATTAAGTACCGGGTTTGTTTCTTGCAGTCGCATATAGTTCTGAACAGGATTTTGACTTGTTAAATATCTTGTATTATTATTTTTTATGCTATGGGGCTCGTGTAGCGCAGTGGTGGGAGGTGCCCTGTAATACACATAGGGTCGATCCCCTCACTCTAGTCTCAGTAAGCCTTCCATCCTTCCGGGGCCGCCAGACTGGTAGCAGACTTGTCTGGGAGGATAGCAACAATTACTCGATAAATCGGTAGACCACCACGAGTCATTGTATGGATCAGATATGCATTCAGTCACCTTTAATGTTGCTTAATGAAGTCGATTGCATGGCGCATCCCTCAGGAATTGATCACCGTCTACAGCTTTATCATTTATTATTTCTTACGATTTGTTAAGGCGCCTGTATTGTTTCGTCAAGCTTGCGGCTGCATACAATGTCGGATGTAATTCTGTTTTTTCGAGTGTCCTCCAGTAGTAATTTGTTGTCCATTATCACTTTTCACTACCAAGGTTTGGATGGTTAAAAAGGTAAGAAAATGGAGCTCTCGGCATTATTCTTTCTGATGGATGCGCCATGCATTCGCTTTCACTAGTCGTTGTGGGAAGGTGACTGAATGCATAACTGGTCTACACAAAAGCGCGCGGTGGCCTACTGTTGTATTGAACTTGTACTGCTATCTTCCCAGACAAATCTGTTACCAAGCTGCCGACTCCAGTGGGGTGGAAGGGTTGGTGTGCCTGGGGCACGGAGATCAATCCCGTGTGTATTGCACGGGGCTCCCGACCACTGAGCTGCACGCGTTCCTCGAATGGTAATGATCACAATAATGTGAAATACATTTTCAATACCATTATTTTCTTCAATATTTTGTTCTTTAGTTCACTATACCTGGAACACGTCGTATATTCTGCCCTCAGATATATGTAAGCGTGTGCGTTTTCATTCCATTTTTAGCGTTTGAACAGGATCTGGTAGGTTTTCTGTTTTGCTTTCTTATTTTTTTGAGTAGAAGAAATCTTAGATATTGCAATATCCTCTTTGTTGCTTCTAAAGTCTTTCATTTGTCACCAGGTGTGCCCGTGTTGTTCACGTTTTTCCTAGGTACTCGTACAAGGGATTTTGTTAACCGAAAGCAACATCAACAATGTTCTTCATACTGTTACTCAGAAATTCAACGATTTGCTGAATGGTTTATATGATTATTCCAAAGGGATTTTACAGAAATGGGGTACACTGCGAAGAAGGCACAGGGTTAGTTATTTGACTTGCAAGATTCCGTAAACGGTTTTTGATACGAAATTTGTCTTCGATAGATGTTGTTTAGAACAAGTTCGACTCCACATGCGGTGATGTGGAGTGCATTGGCGAATACGACGCATCCAGGTCATTAACTACTGGAAATGGCAGTTTACCAACTAAGGTAGTGCATTCTATATTCCTTTTTTGCAGTTAACACGAGGATGGGGCGCGTGTAGCACAGTGGTCGGAGGAACTCTGCAATACATATTCTATCGATCCTCGTGACCAAGGCTCACCAAGTCTTCCATTCCTCCGGAGTCGGTAAATTGGTACCAGACTTGTCGAGGAGAATAGTAACACTGGCTCAATACATCGGTAGGCCACTGCGAGCCATTGTAAAGCCTAGATATGCATTCAGTTACCTCCAGCGATGCTTAATGAAGTCGAATGCACGACGTATCCCTCAGAGATTTATTAACGCTGAGAGCTTTATCCTCTTATTCGTTATTAAGACGTGACGCAAACAAAAAAAAGTGTCTTTAGGTTATGCTCTATTTCTTCTGTGTGATTTTCTATGTATTCTATAATCTTTGGTGAGACCATGTGTTGGTAACTTTGTTCTCACCTTAGAGCTACAAACTATTATCAACTTCATTGAATCTTTTATAGGTTTCGAACAACGTAACGTCTAGAAGCACTTCATTCTCTGTTCGAAACATTATGGACTACACTAAAGGAGTATGGTGAGTGTGATGTGGTTTTGTGTCAACTACAAGTTCAACATTGAGCTATCCCTTTCGAAACGTCGAGGTTTTTGTGCATTTTTGATTCGAAACCAAGTTAATAAGGAGTGTTATGGCGTGAAATTTTGCCCATATAGATCGAAGTTACATTAACTAGACAAGGTTTTTAGTTTTTGTCTGGTTTGCAAAACGCGTCGTCACATATTATGCGGGTCGCACCATTTCTTTAATTCGATTCTTCGTGTCCACTATCCATTAAAATCTTGGAATTATGCGTGATTTCGGTTGCTACTTGAAGGTTTTGGCGTTCTTCATAAAAATCCTGAGCAGCCATTTCATGGGGTTCCTAAATCTTCTGAGTCGTAATGATCCTTACAGACAAATCTGGTAACAATTCCCCGTCCCAGGATTAATGGAAGGCTTGGTTGGTTAAAGGCGGAGTCAAGCATGGTTTTATGCATATTAACAATCTCTCAAAGATATTAACATCCTCTATGGAAGTCATTTCGAAATTGTGGAGTGGTCTCTGGGTCATTTTCTCACTGGCGGTTTATTTTAAAACAGGAGTGTTTTCTTGTGCTTCTTATAATTAATCGATAAATTATACAACGTGGATGCTGTGACGGGTGTCAATAATGGGAGGGTTTCGTCTTAAAAATTTCTCACTTAGTGATTTAAAAAGAACCTCTCTTTAGACGAGTTCATTTCGTTGCCGAAACATTGCTTGTTTTGAAGAGAGTCTGCACCGTAGAACTGTTGCGTTTCAGAAGGGAACAGAGACTTCTGTGATTTATTTAAACATTGAATCATCGAAAGGACACCAGAGTGGATAGGTATTCACAGTCTGCTTCCTACCTATCATTAACAACTTTGATGAATATTGTTATGAACTCGTATAGTAGTTCCCAAAACAACTTCATGTGAACAAGCTAGGCTTTCATCAATACGTCCCTATAGTATGTCTTATCTATCGCTTTACCTTGCATATATCTAACACCGTTTACAGTTAATACGTTTCATACATTTTGTTCTTCTTGCAGCCCAATACTCCAAGAATTAACGTATGTTAAATGTAATTTACATCCGGTACAGCCTTCAGCTACTTGCAATCATTAAAATCACGCCGTACGTTCACTTCAGTGTGGGCATTATTGGGACCACCTAAGCAGAAATATTTGTTACATTGGCTGCATGTAGTACTGGCCTCCGTGCTTTGTATGCAGTGGGATTTGGGCTCCCAAGTTGTTAGAAAGGTCTGTAGAGAATAAGTAAAACAAGCCATAAAAAAGAGAAAGTGCTCGTATTGGTATAAATGGAGAGGAACATTCACTAGAAGCAGGTGATGAATCATGAAGTCACTGATGTATCAGGGGCCTCCGAAACGATTTGGACATGGTGGCAATGGAGTATCCCTTTGGAGAAGTGGGAACTGGTCAAGGTAAAGAAATGGACATCAGCGCATTCCATCTAAGAGAAAAATGCGTAGCACACCTAAATTAGTGCGCATGTCCCGATAAAAATTTAGTAAACTCCTAGTTGTGTCAAAGAACGTTTACCTATAATGCCTTATCGGAAGTGAAGTCAATCGCTGCGATAAATCGTAGTAATCGTACAGAATGAACGGATATATAGAAGCATTAGCACCCATAGAACAGTAGTGCAAAGCTTCTTCTATAAGTCTATTAACGTTTGAACTCCTCAAGTACACTAGTCGTCGAAAAAATGTCGAAAGTTATCGATGGACTGACATCGCATGTAAAGCATTTTTGACAAGCAATTTGTTTTCGTCTCATTCTCAATCGCTATGCGTCCTATAGAAAGAGAGGATATCAAAACCATGAGATAGTCATGGTAGTTTACTTCGTTTACACGACTTCGTTAGTCTTCGTTGTTTTCATCAGGAACCCCAGCTAATAGTAAACCAATACCAGATCTGCCACTGTCTTGATATCAAATTTATCGCATGGTGGTTATTAATTAATTAGAGTTAAAATCTACCTCTGATCCGCAAGGGCGGCGACCGCCTAGAGTGGTGATGACCCGGGGCAGACTTTGGCTAGAGTGACCTCGAGGGTCCAGGTAATCACAGTGACTAAACCAGCAAAACTCCGAAGAAATGGAATTGATGCGTTTGCTCGCATAACTAGTGAAGATGGAACATCCGAGTATCAAAGTAAATAAGTATGATTCGATGATGGACGAGCTGGTTTCGTCATCGGATAGAAAACTTACTTGTGTACAAGAACATGAGAACGTCCATAGCGGAACATAGAGTATACATAAAATAGAAGAGTACAGAATCTTGCAAAACATAGAAGGAACCAAATTTATAGAACGGAAATTACATTGAAAGGACGGGAGTAATCAAAAACTGTCAGAGTGACCGATGTAACTTCCATATGTTTCACAACTAAAAATTAGAGGCTTGGCGAGAATGTTAAGCAGCACCGTTACTGCAGCGCTTCCGCCGCACAGAAAGATATGATACTGGCCATAAGTCGTTGTGTTTAGGTCCGTGAGCACAACTGAGGACGAGAATTCTACCAGAAACCCACTGTGTGACGGCTACGTGCATCCAGAATGGGCGTTGATCTTCATGTTGAGACTTGGTCTTATTGCTGTGCAAATGATGCATGAAAATACTCAGTCAAGTTGGTTTCATGGCTTTCTATACATCTGGTTTTTCTTTTTCTTTTCTTTGAATTTTCTTACATCTCGGCTCTGTGTAGCTAGTAAATAAATAAATTTTAGACATAATAGTCATTACGGATGCAGTATGCGGTATGCCTGACGCTAATGCTCTACAACAACTGCTGAGCCAGTTACGTAGCTACACAGTGTCCTGTTCATTCATTCAGGTAAGGAAACGTTTGTGAAATTGAGGACGTTTAGTTCTTTGTGGTAACTAGATCTGAAGCGGAAATGCTTTGCTTCAAGTTTTCCTGTTCATAAGGGTGTTGTAGAAAACGGACAATTTTGTACAGATTTCCGATGTATTTCATCCAGTTCTTTTACATGCGCATATCGGATGTATCCTTCTTTCTTCGTCTTTATTCTTTCATTAAATATTCTTTTCCTTTCCTTTTCCAGATTCTTTGTTACAAGATGAAGTATCTTTTGTGGTTGGGCTATTTGTTGCGCTCTTTCGCGGTTCATTTTCGAGCTACCTTTTCTGATCTATCAATCTGTTTATCGGTCTTTTCCTTAGTCTGGCTATATAAACAATATTATTCATAGCTCCTATGCAAACCGAGCTTTATACGAATAGCAGATCAGTGAAGCCATTTGTCGAACTTCTGGGTTTTTTTGTAGTCATTGTTATTTCGCATTGAGGGCTTACTAACGTTGCTTGTTCTGTCAGCACATAAAAATGGGGTCTAGAGGTTTTCCATATTAAGCGTTTTAAGATAACTCCCACGTCCGACTTTCTATTAACCTCGGCATTGATTGAACAATTCTTTTGAACAAGCGTAGTTAGCTTCTGTTGAACGAGAATTAAACTGAAACAATGTAAATAAATGTATGTACATAAGTTTACTGACAAAGAGCTGGCAGTTCTATGTGAATCGATTCTTTATGGCACAAAGGCATGCAAGAATCCTACTGGCTCTTACTGTATCCTGTGTTACTTGCGCAAAGCCTCAGGAGACCTTCTTCCATAGAATAGCTAATCACTAAGAATGTAATGTGAATTCGAAATATGCAACAAAGCTCGGAAAATAGAGGAAGCAATAGATGCCATGTTTTTTCACTTTCGAAAATGTTGTCTATTTACAAGGTCAAAATAGGTACACATAGGGCACAAAAGCACAATAGCGATGATGTTGAAGTAACGGTCCGTATCCTTGCCCAGGAATCAAAAACATCAACGCGCATGACTCTTGAGACGAACAATTCTTTCTACTTCTGTTCAGCAAACACGAGGTGCTATTTTATTTTATTTACGTACAAGCTGACGTTTCGGCGGATTTCGCCTTCCTCTGAGCCTGGAAGGGTCAAGTTGACAGCAATCCACTCGGCCAAACACCTCCATAACCAAACAGAGAAAACGCTAAACCAAGATTTCAATTACATTTAGCATAGCTCTGCACACTCACCGCTTTCTGTGAGTCTTCCACTGAGTATGTCGTGTGAAGACCAACCGCACAGAATTCACATAATTCGTAATGTGCCCCTCCCATCAGAATAACATGTTTATATTCTGCCCAATATCACGCGTGGTAATGAGGCATTCTTCCCTGCGGTTCATTTTCGGATTTCTGGAATTAATCCAGAACGCCTGGAGAATTTTGCGCACTTGTGTTCTTGATCCTGCGCGAGGATCGTGACACGTACTTCAAAGTCCTCCCCGTTATATCTCTGGGTCCTATGCGTGCCTGGCGGGGTGTTTCGTTTATGTTTGCCGGCTAGGTGTTCTTTTATGCGGACACAGAGGGGTCTGCCCGTTTCGCTAATGTATTCGGCTCGCCACGCCTTACAGGAGATCAGATAAACTATACCCCTGTTCATGCAATCACCGTCTTTGCCATAGGGGCAAACTATGCAATTTTGCATTGCACATAGTCGGTCATATAGACGGTTACGAACTATCTGGAGCCTAAGATTACTCAGTGGCATTTCAACTACGCTTACCGATTTCTCTAGACGCGCCCTTCTTAACCAGCGTTTTATAGCTGCACTTACATCATTTGAGATGAAGGGTAGGATAAACTGGACCTTTTTATCGCTGGAGTTGCCGTTTGGAGGCCTCCGACTTCCTCTGCACCTATCTCGAGCTACAGTTTCGTAGCCATTGGAAATGGCTATTTGCGGCGTCGAGTTCCGGGACTCCTCTCTCTACTCTGTTCTCGTGCACACGTTGGTTACCATTCGAAACATGTTTCCTACAAGCGCTCTTTTCGTGTGAGAGGGGTGAGAGGAGAGGTAATGTACGAAGATGTTTTTATTGCTTGGCTTTCGGTACCACTTCGTAATATTTTCTGACAGGTTAATTTGGCCGTTCAGGAATGGAAGTCAGTTTTTTTTTTCTTTCTCTCGAGTGAATTTAATATACTCTGACTGTTCGTTCAACAACTCGAAACATCTGTCAATTTCTTCTTGTGTTGAACGAATGACCAAGCAGTCATTTATATATCTACAGTAGAGTAACGGCCCAAAGTCGATTACTGGTGCTGCCACCTTAGACATAAATGCAGTGGCAAGGCTTGGTGCTAGTCGTTGTCCCATTGCCGCCCTCTCATTTGTGCGTAATACCTCCCAGACTATCTGAAAATTGAGCAGTTTAGGTACTCCTTTAAGATTGTCATCAACTGCTAAATCGAGGAGCCATACATGTTTATTTCTCCTTCATGTTGTAGAAGGAGTTCGAACATGGCTTGCATTGCGGAGTCATTTGACACGTTTGTATGAAGGGCGGTAACGTCGAAGGACTCCATCACGCACGCGCTGTTGGGCCGCGCAGTACGTAGACGATCCAGAAACATCTGGGTATTCGTAAGATGGGCTGGAATGTGTTTCATCAACTGATTAAATATTAGGGTTTTAAGATAGTTTGCACATGTTTGGCGATGTCACATTAATATCACGTCACATATGTTGCTAATGGCTTTACTGTGAAATAGGTGCTCAGTTTTTACCAAAATACCTCTCTGCTGCATAAAGTATTGCCGTTCGATAAAGGCTAAGTGTTGTTCTTCTTTTGGTTCACAATTGTTCCGAGAGTTTTAACGTTTGTGATATTTTAGGCACTCATAAGTTCGAGCCGAGTGGAAATACTGCGATATCTCAGCTGTATCAGTTTTGTTTGAGGTTACCAGTGACTTGTAACACTAGTTAGACTGAACCCTTAGTTGTGAGATGTGTATCTCTATGTGTCTCTTTTCATATATAGGTATTATTTATGACGTTCACAATCTCGGGATTTTTTGAAGAGATTTTTGGAGAGTTCTTCCCCACTGGTATCTAATTATTCTCTACTCCGCTCTTGTTATTCACTTATTCTGGCGCCGTTACCACTTTCTCTTTTTAATTCGATGCCAATGGTTCTATCACTTCAGCGCCACTAACATGCATGAGTTTGTTCTCTGTGTATTATAAAGTACTATGTGTTTTCGATGCGCGTGTGGCGCAGTGGTCGGAGGCTCTCTTAGACACACATATGGAATCGGGCCCCGCGCCCATGGCTCGCAGAGCCTTCCATGCCTCGGGGGTCGGAAAATTGTTATCAGACTTGTCTGAGAGATTAGCAGCACTGGCTCGATACATCGGTGGACCATCGCGAGTCATTGTAAAGGCCAGATATGCATTCAATCACCTCCAAAGATTTTTAACGAAGTTTCATGGCCCATCGCTCAGGAATTGATCAACGCAAAAAGCTTTGTCCTTTTTATCCTTTATGTATATTCGAGCGTTCTGCTCTGATCTCCACTGTAGTCGTTCTAGATATTCTTGTTCGTTCTTAAAGAGTATTTTAAACTTTCGCGAGAAGTCCAGTGGTTAGAGATACCGTGAAATAGACTCGTTTACCATGCCCGCTGGTTCGATCACTCTTCAGAACACTAAACTCGAATCTCTCTGTGATCATCAAGTTGTTACCACTCTCCCTTCGGTCCGTAATAGCCCTGCAGTTGACCATGTTGAACACGTGGGAACGCTCTTTAATGTCCTTCAGAGTTCCAGGTAATCGATCAGGATTCGAAGAAATTGATGAAAAAAATGGGATCTTCAAGTAGAATAAGGACCAACACTCGAATCCGAAGAGCTTTGTGGATGACGAATACAAGGTAACGAACCTGAAAGATGTCCTTGGATTCGCGCCATGCATGAGAACAGGTCGTGTGAATAATGTAACAAAAAATTTTTCTCTCAGCAAGTTGGCACGGGAGTTAGTGAACAATCACAGGGTTTTTACTGGCCGCTAGAAGACCTGCGCATTTGGCAGCGGCTTCCCAAAATATAATCATTTGTGCTCGATGTCATCTAACGAGGAGCCAGATAGCCTGAGTGCCTGGCTTATCTTCAAACTGCTGTGATGTGATGATTTGATGAAGCCATAGAAGTTCTCGTTTTCTTCGTTGTTTTTCCACTTTGCGTCAATAAGGTCTGTAATAGTTGATATAGACCCTCTGAATTTAATACCACGATCTCGATCGATATTTGGATCATGCACTGGTAGGAAACTGTGGTTAATTCTTCTCGTTGAAAACAATAGTTCTACTATTGTCCTTTCCGGGGAGTAACGCGTTCACCACCACACCATGCGGGTCCTTCGTTTCGCCTGTCTCTCAGCTAGGTCTATCGATCAGTGCCGTCAGCAATCACCCGTCAACGGAATTGATCTGGGTAGCCCACATCGGCATTAAACCCAGTTAAGTTGAGGTTGTAGTTGAATTCACAATGTTTACTTTTTATTTTCTGCGTTCTATAATTTTTATGGCAGAGTATTAAGCAAAATACAATCCTTCGTGCACGTTCACGGGTGATTGCTGACGGCAGTGATCGATAGAACTACCTGAGAGAGGTGAAACGAAGGACTCGCATGGTGTGGTTGTGAACGCGTTACTACCCGGAAAGGACAATAGCGCGTTCGTTCCCTACCGCAGACACCTGAGGTCCGGAGTTTTGCAAATATCTCAGCAGTCTTGTGGTTGTATTTCGCTTAATACCCTGCCATAAAAATTGTAGAAGGCAGAAAACAAAAAGTAAACATTGTGAGTAGTTTTACTGTTATCGCATTTATAGATTCGTCCGTAAACACTAGGTTCACCTGACTTCCTTGTTCTCATTTTATTTCCATCGTTTCCAGTTTTTTTCATAAGGACATTTGCTAAAGTCACACATTGTTTCCTTAGTAACCTGTTCCTTTTTTAACTTATCGCCTAACTGACGACGTTTGTTTATTACCTTGTGATTATTAATTTTCAGCTCCAAGGACGATCACGTAGCGAGGCATGTTTTGGCCATGTAGCCTCGTGTGAGCTGTTTCATTTCATGGCAATGGCAACGTTTGGGGTGTACATTCCCAATTGTCGTTGTTCGATTGGCGTTGACATGAACGATATCCGTGAACCGTTGGTTTGCTCTGAAGACGAAGAAGTGGACGAGAGTGAGTTCAAGCCGCTGAATCCCTTCCATAGGTAGGTATGCAGTCACCTAGGAAGTGTCTTTATAGCTCTGCCATTGTTAGTTTTTTTTAAACGGAGGAGTCCTTGCTCGGACAATAAAGATTTACAACAAATTTTTATTTTCATTTCAAATCGTTCCAGTTTTTAGCTAGAGATCCACCATGTATTAGGTATGTTAGCAGGTGCACGACTTGTTGTTTACTCAGTTGTTTTTCAGGGCGTTGTTATGTTGGTGTTTTCAAAATGCTCTCCAAGATAACGTTCATATAACAAATCTAGTGAACGAGATCAATCCTGAATTTGCGCAGTTGTATCGAAAGTAAGCCCAGGATTTCTTTTTGCCCTGAAAGAACACTAATTACTCCTCTTTAGAGACGTTGTCAGACATCGTTATATTCGTTCAGTTTATCAAAGTGCACTGCATGAAATATTGTATATTCGTCTACGTGAAGGATTTACACTGAAGCAAGGTTTGAAATTCTGTGATTAGATTTGATGATTTGAAGCTTTTCTCATGAAATTCTGTGAACTATTTGGCGAACTGACATTCTCTTCAAACTGCGTCTGATTTGAAAGGGGTGTTTCATGAATGATCCGTTTACTGCTCCCTTTCCTTTTGTTTTTTTATTTGAAGCTGGGTAGCGCAGTGGTTGGTGTTGTCCCAAAGGCGCTATAAGGGATAGAACTAGCTGAGACACAGGCGAAACAAAGAACCCGGATGGTGTGGTGGTGAACGCGTTGCGTCCGGAAAGAATAATATCGTGTTCGTTCCTCACCGCACACATCTGCGGTCCGGAGTTTTGCAAATATCTCATCATTATATAAAGGCGCTATAGTTCGACCCTCTCCACAACACTATTATCCAACCTACGTGGGAACTCCTTAGCTTAACCATTTCTAAGATTGCAAAGAGAATTGACTCTACCAACATTCTACGACATTCATTAGAAGACAAAATCTCTAAGCAGCAGCCGAAACAACGGAATGTTCGAAGACCATTGTGGCTATAAATGCGAGAAAAACGAATCGAATGCAAAAAGTGCTGGGATCTATACAGTTGATGTGGTGATGGGTCATATAAAACAAAATGCAGGCAGAATTTCAATTTTTATTCAGTTACAGTGCGCTTATGTCAAGATGGTACTCAAATGGTAATTGTTCTGAGCATGCCATTTCACCCATTGGTCTTCATTGATTACACAATAATAGCAAATTGGCCGTCGGACAAGAAGAGTCGGTATGCGTCTACGAGTGTTTTCTATTCTCTTTTAGACGTATTTCCTCTTAAGAGAGCTTTTTCTAGGGAAAATATAACAGTAGATCTCGTTATACAAGCTCCATATAATGAACTGAAGGATCTGTTATCTGAAGGTCAATTCCCTAATGCCGTAAGGCAGAAGCTTGTGAAATCTCTCCGTAATTCAGTCGATGAGTGAGTATTTTTCTGTTAAAATAGCAACTGCAGGAAATTTTAAGCTTGCTAATATATGAGATTTCCTACATTTTCATTTGAAGTGTAAAATCTCGTACTTCTCGAAATATTATAGTTTTCTGCCACCGATTTTTTGCTTAACTAGTGAGCGAAATCGTACGCGTTCGTATACTCCTAGCAGGCACGTAGTGCTGATTTCTTGCTGTTACAATTGCTATTTATTTGCTATTAAAGGGCCACATGTAAGCGCAGTAGCCCCCCTACAATACGCATGGGATCGATCCCAGCTGCGCATGCTCACCAAGCCTTCCATCTCTCCGGGATCGGCAAATTGCTACCAAACCCGTCCGGTAGGATAGCAGCACTGGCTCGATACATCGGTAGGCCACTGCGAGTCATGGGCCAGATAAGCACTTGGTCACCTCTAACGATGCTTAATGAAGTCGAATGCGTGGCGCATCTCTTAGGGATTGATCAACGCCAATTGCTTTAACCTTTTATTTCTTAGCCTTTAGTGCGTGAAAGTAAAAATGCATCAATTTGACTCATCCAGGCTTTGAAGGAGGCGAAACTTTGTGGGAGGAAAACGAGACATGTATCCTTTTTGTTTACCTAGTATTGTTAATATTGGTATTTACCTATATTATTATTGCTGTTATTATTTTTATAGCATTCTTGAAGCCGATCGTGTACTGCTACATATCCATGCATTCAACACGGATCCAGTGTTCTACCGTATTCCAGTGGGTGTATCGGCAAAGATACCGATATTCACTGTTGATGACAAAACGAAAGAGATGACCGTCTTTCTGGGGTGGGAAATTCTTCAGTTTCTTTCTATTACAAATCGCACTTCTTTCCGTAGGAATGGATTCAAAGAATTTTAGCACTCAACGCGAACAAGCGAAGACATTCGTGGGATTCTGGAGTTCGTTGTGCGAGTTAAGCGAAAAGTCATGGTAACTCTATATTTTGCTTTGAAAGGCTTCTGAACCTATTAGAACCTTTCAACTTCGTGCTAAATAAAAGCCAATACCAATAATAATTGTTTTGAGGCAGAAATGGGTGCATGTGCATTCTGAAAGGATTATTTTAAAGAGTTCCAACGTACCGTTCAATATGTTTGGCGCGAAAAATGATGTGAAGGTGAATTTCATGCTTTCTAATATATTTGGTACTGAAACGATTTGAATTGAGAAATTTGAAAGCTAGTAATTGTGGAAGTGGGTTAGTAGTTTTATAACTTGAACACACTTGAAAACTTGGACGGCCTGTCCTCACTAGTTGTGCGGACCTCACCATAATCACCACGTATCGGAGAATTGCTGGTTAAGCAATTGTGGTCCCCTGGAATCTCGAGGTCAGCCTGGTCAAAGTCCACCCCAGGCCGTCACCACTACAGGGAGTCGCATCCTTTGTGGATCAGAGCGAGATTTGCCATGTGACTTTGATACCAGGACGGTGGTAGGTCCTGGTATTGGTTTGCTTTTGGCTAGGTTTCCCTATGGAAACGCCGGATTCCTTCTCAGCTTGGGAGACCCTGCCAGGGGACGAATCCCCCAGTTGTACATCGCAGCCCAACACCCAGGAACATCTCCCAGCCACGTTGACGCGGTAAACCGTTGGGGGAGTTTTGCAACAGTTATTGCCCAGTTTTATAATTAGTTTAACGTATTAAGAAGTTAACAATAAATGCTAGAGTTGGACGATATAACTACAATAATGCTGACACATTTGCAAAGCTCGGGATCCGCAGGTGTGGGTTGTGTAGATCGAACCTTATTGTTAGCCTTTCTGGAGGCTAACGTGTTCATCACCACCTCATCATACCCTGCCATAGAAAAAGAATAGGCGATAAATAAAAAGTGATTACATTGGATGATGTAGTTTTCTTTGGAACTTAGTGTATATGGATAAATAACTAGATTTGTATTGGGTTTATTCAGATTGACTGTCGAGCTGCTGACGAGAAGCTGCACGAATTGCTTAGAAAACAGAGTTCTTTTTGTCTGGTAGAAAGGCAGATATATATTACGTTTATTTATGGGTTAGCGTATTTGTTTCCGTATAGTTTTTTGCTTTTTATTCCATTTGTCTATATTTTAGGGAAAACAGCGATATACCAGTGTATTTTTACATGATCAAGGTTACGTTGGAGCCACCGTGCCTTATACTTCGAACGGCATTCCTGGGCGGGGTTAGCAGCATAACTCGAAGAGATGTAATGTTTTAAATTTGTGTCAATCTAATTTTTACCCTATTTTTAAATAGTATGTAGTAGTATATTTATATTATTAATGTCATTGTTAAGGTAGTTGATGCTAATCGTCGACGATTATTAGATCTTCGTCTTATGGAAGATGGAAAAGAGACGGTTTCTTGTTTATATTACTTACTAAACCACTAAGTTTTGTGCTATATAATAAATTTGATATTGCTCTATGGAGTGGTCGATTTAGGAAGCTTTGTCCGTTATTCGACGACCACTTGAACGAATCATGATTCGTTATCGGTCGATTCCCAAAGATCTGCAGACTATCGTCCGAGTTCGGGAAGATGATACATTGGAGGATCCGAAGCTGTTAATACTACACAATGCGATTAGCAAGTATCTTGAATGTCGGTGAGTATTATGGAGCTGGCCATTTCTCGATTTTCTAAGTTTCTTTTTTGTGTTTGAGAATGTCCGAGTGCTCAGTTCCGTGAATTTCTTTATCTCTAAAATTTCCTTTCATGTAATCTGTTAAATATTAGTACTTAACTGCCTAAGATTTCTGTGATATCCGTGGATTTGCCTTCACATCACTGACGATGTCAAGTTTGTGAAAGAATTCAAGTAAATATACGAGAACTTGTATTGTGTATGTTTTCACGTTGTTTTTTTCACCCATCTTTTTTTTTATAATTGGGTTTATATGCGACTTTGAATTGCTAGGGCTCATATGTTCTATTTCTTAACCACACTTTTATAGGCGACGTATTTGGAATCTACCTCAACTGAATGCGAAAAATGATCGTACTTATCGGCCAACGGCTGAGTATATACTTAGCGTACTGATGCAAAGACGTCTTGAGGAGGGGTTCCGCGTTGCTTGGGCTCACGGCGGTATCGTAGGATTCTGTCGACAGGTGAGTGTTGTCACAAGGTGAAAGGATTGTTTGTATAGTTTCAACTGAGATTTCAGTCTTTTCAATCAAAGATTTGAATTTTTAGACGTTGATTTGACATTATGATCGTAGAAGATTCTCTCTTTGATTTCCGTATGTTAGGATTCAATAAGAAGGTTTCGGTCTTGGATAGGATTTTTGGAACAACATATCTCTTTTAAAATTTAATTTTGTTGATCAAGGCAAGATAATTGCAATTGGCTGTGTACCTTTCCCGAGCACCTCTATTACCTGTATTCGCGTTAATAGTCAGGTGACTTGGGCGCAAGGCGATAAATCTTCCATTTTTCCGTGTCGCATGCGAGAATAGCCTAGTGGGTTCTGCTCGCTCTAGGAAATCGGTAAGCATCATTACCTTTCTTCTAGGCTTTTCGTGAAAAACTCTGACCATTGGGTCGATGGTTTTTCTGCAAAACAATGCATTTGCACAAATCATCAACATTCTTTCCACACAAACGTTTGGAACGCTGGATGTCAAAAAGTCGTCAAAGGTCTTTTAGCTGTTTGTCAATGATATCTTAGTGTTTCTTCGATTAAGTCAACTACGTGAAGCATATATTTATTTATATGGTCTTATAAACTGATCTTCTTCAACTGATGCGAGGTTGGTACATGTCTTCGTTGTCATTGTCGTTGTTGTTGGTGTTGGTGTTGGTGTTGTTTGTCGATGACTGACGTTTCGGCGATTTCGCCTTCCTCAGAACCGTGCTGTGCTGGGGCTGTCCCACTCGTAACAGTACGGCTTCAGCCATCGACAAACATCACCAACAACAACGACAACAACAACGACAATGAAGACTTATACCAACCTCGCATCAACTAAAGAAGATCAGTTTATAAGACCATATAAATAAATATATCAGCTGTCTATGCCGAGGTTTATAGAAAGTCGGTCTTTTGAGTTATTACGTGAAGCATAGTTTCTTACTCCAAAGGTAATCATTGCTATTTTTTATAAGAGTGTGGTTTAGAAGTGTTCCACTGCTACTTATGTTTGCAACCATTGTGCAGAACATTGTTCTTCACTGAGGAAGCTTTTCCTAAGAATGGGGTTGGCAAGAGATTTTTATTGTCGCGAAGCAAGAAAGAAACGCCAACTGGCTTTCAACCGAAGATTTTTCGTTCTTCATTCGATGCGCATAACTTCGGCGAAGTGGTATTACTAAGTTTTTTTTTTCAAATTTTTATACCTAAATTCAGTGTTAATTGCAATGAAAGCACGAGTATTAGTGACTGCTAGCAAAATCGGTGCTAATAACCTGGTGAATATCCATAGATGGTAATTCTATCGATAATAAAAATATCCTGAAAATTCCGTAATTTATATCTGTTATCATGTACTGTCCAACACACTATTCTAGAATCTTCTGATGATTTCAGCTAGAAATTCTGTTGCACCAGTCAGAATTATCTTAAAAAAAGGAATGGTGGTGAATGAAGAGTTGGATAAACTTCGTTTAGAAAGGAAGCTGCTTAAGAGTTTCTGTAAATCCGTGATTGTTATGAGTTAAAAGAGGAAAGAGAATTTTACCGTCTTCCTGTCATCGTATTAGTGTTCAAATAAATTGAGCGGTAACCAGTAAATTCTGTGTTCAAATCACCTACCAGGTTCACTTCGTGGGCTGTACTAACTTATGAGTATCATATTTCAGCATGTCGTTCTTCTCAAATCCCTCTTAATGAAAAGTTGGTTCCTTGGGTGATGCCATGGCTTAGGATTACCTAGCTGTTAAATAGGATTCCAGATAGAAATGCTGGAGGTTCTGTTCCTGATGATGAACTTTGTGCATCACAGTTCAAACCCTAGAATCAAATTTCTTTGCTTTGAGGCTGTAAAACATCACGAAGTGTTAAGTATACAACCAATTATAAGTAGAAAAGAATAAAGTTGTCGGCGTTCATCAATCCCGGAGGAATGTGACATGCATTCGACTTCATTAAGCATCGTTAGGACTGACTGGATGGATGTCTGGCCTGTACAGTGGCTCGCGGTAGTCTTCCGAGTATCGAGTCGGCGCTGCTATGCTTCCATACAGGTCTGGTACCGATTTGCCGACCTGGGATGGATGAAAAGCTTGGTGAATCTGGGCGAGGGGTTGAACCCATGTGCATTACAGAGCATCTCTAGCCACGGCGCTACACGCGCCCCTTGCAACCAATTATTATTAAGTAAAATTAAGGTGATCGTACAATCCGGTCCAGCACTTCAACAGTATGTTATATTTCCTCCGACGAGAGCCAGTTTGAAGATGTGTTTCGACCGTGAACGATTACCGAGCATATCAGAGTAAGTTTCCCATTAATTGTTTTTTTTGTTGTTGTTCATAATCTTTTGGTATTTGGAAGAAAAGGGAAGTAAAGAAGAAGGAGAAGAAGTAGAAGTGGAACTTCACAACTTCAACTCGCTTTATAGTGGAACGAAGTCACTCTGAGACGAAGTGGTACTTGATCGAGTTTGAAGTTTAGCATTTATATGGAAATGGTTCAGTAGATCCTAAATGACCAATCATCCTCATGAGCTGTCAAGTGTTTTCCTTATATCAACAGACTCGATCAATTTCGTCTTCGTTGCAATCTCATGCACACACAGCGGCATTTTAAATAGCAGCGGTAGTCGTTTCTGTTGATATCCATAGGACAAATGAAATCAATAGATATGTTGATTCAGCCGATTATATGTGCTGTCGTCGATGTTATTCATTACTGAGTATTTCTTATGACGCGAAGCTGAGTTGGCTGGAGACAGTCCGATTTTAGGACATGGCCAACCCAAACAGTTCGAATGCTCCACTCACCCACGCATTCACTTTACCGTACGTCGTACAGGACTCTAAAACCAATCACGCTGAGCAATCCCAATGACTCTAGGGCACTCCACGCTGAGTAGGTTTGATTTTACGTGAACAGCTGATTTAGAAACAGCTAGTATGGAATTAATGCAGACAATTCTTAGCTTGGAAAACGTGGACCATTAAAACCTATCGCACTGGCAATACTACTACAACTTCTAGGTGCTGTTATATATCATTTGTGAATTTGTATTGGACAGCAGGAGGAATCTCCTGAGGGACCTGAACGGAACGGTTGTTTGGGGTTCCGCTGGTAATCATTTTACAGTCGTAGTAGTCTTGGACGCGGGAGCCCATTGATTAGAGGTACTGTGCAGTACACAGATGATGCTTAATTCGATCCCGCTTGCTGTGTCAACCAATCTGTCCACTCATTCGGCTTAGGTAAGTTGACACCAGACTTTTCTTAGTGGATAAACAACTGACTTTGTACGTCGCTGTGCGCTCACAAATAACTGTGAGCCGAACTTGCATTCAATCACCTCTACAATACTACGGATGGAGTACAAATGCATAGGTCATCCCTTAGGGACAGGTCATAATTTTGAATGATCTATCCATTTACTAGTCGTATAGTGGCAAATCTCCCTCTGATCCACAAGGGCAGCGACTGCTTGTGGTGGTGACGACCTGGAGCAAACTTTGCCCTGGCTAACCTTAGGACTCCAGGGAACCACAACGGCTAAGCCGGCACAAGTCCGAATCAATGAAAATAATGCTGAGGTCCGCACAACCAGTGAAAACTGGCCAGCCAAGTACCCAAGTAAGTATCCCTTTACTTCCGTAGTTTTTAGTTCCCAAAATGGTCATACCCGTAGACAGCCAACTTTTGCCATAAATGTTTTACTACTTTAGGTATAGAGTTCTTATTTATGAGTTAAGGAATAGCTGGCCGTCCATTATCACTCTACAGCAAAATTTTATGTTGTTAGTATACATTTAACGTTGGCATAGTCGTCATTATTCAGTGTTGCACACGTTTTCCATTCTTTCCATTTTCCGCAGTTTAACTATAAAATGAAGTGGATGTTGTTGACGTCGAAAGTGATCTATAATCGGTGGCGTACCTACCTGAAGCACTGTTGTTGGACATAACGCCTATGGTATTGTTAGGATAAACACATGAAATTACCAAAGAATTCATACTGTTGTTTAATTCGCAATCTTCAATGTGAAACCGATGACTACGAATTGCTCCAGAAGTGTTCGACTCGTACATCCACTGGTGTTCGTTCCCTTAGTTCCTGGTAGTTTGCTGGTATGAATACCACTATAATAGTCCATCTGATCTTCAAAAAGTCTTTCGTAATGAACATCATCAGAATCACAGTTTTGTTCCTAGTGACCTTTTAATTCAGAAATACAAATACAGGAGGATTTCTCTATACTACTCATGTCATCATAAGGTTTCGTCCAGTTTAGCGTGTGTGACGTTCATCGTTTTCAGAGTGATTCATATTGCTCGGAGATTAATCACACTTTGCTTCCGATCTTTTGAATAGAGATTTGATATTTCTGGCAGGTGGTGAAGCTTACGCCTACAATTACAGCATCAACAGAACTGGGAATCCTCAACACCATTAGATGAGGTTTCAATAAGATTCAGAGCCGGTTGATTTTTGATTGAAATGCAGTTTGAAGTGATGTTTGGATATGAATAATTTTAGTATTCAAACTTTTCAATCTTAAATATCGGTTCTTGGAGAACACTAAGTGTTGGAGATCGTATATGGGTTTTTTTCTCATTATAATAAAAGGATAAAGTTTTCGGCGTTGTTTAATCCCTGAGGGATGCACCATGCATTCGACTTCATTAAGTATTGTTGGAGGTGAATGGATGCACATTTGTCCTTTTACAATGACTCGCGGTGGCTTGCCGATGTATCGAGTCAATGCTACTATCCTTCCAGACAAGTATGGTACCAATTTGCAGACCTCGGAGGGATGGAAGGCTTGATGAGCCACGGGTGCGGAGATCGATTCCACGTGTGTGTCGCAGTGGCGCCTCCAACCACTGCGCCACACGAGCCTTCTGTCTTTCTGCATCCTTAAAATAGTAATTTTGGCTTCCAGGGATTTTTTTCATCGCTAGAGGAGCTGTATTGTTCGGACTTCAACTACCCTCAAATTCTT